CCCCAGGCCGGGCCAGAGTCCCTGTGGCGTTCCCCTGCCCTCTGGCACTCGGCCTGGCCTGGCCTCTGTCACATCTGGTAGCAGTTTGGGTTAATTTTGGCATGTGCCTCTCGCAGAAACCTTTGGAGCTGGGGTGAGCCCTGCCCCGCCTGGCAGGCGGCTCCCCCGTCTCAGAGCAACTCCCCGGCTGCTGCTTTAGACCCAGCTATTCTGAGCCGGGTTTTGTTAACCCCTTCGGCACCGCGATGCCGGGTGGTGGTCCTGGCCCCACTCCAGCCTGCCCTGCAGCCCCATGAGAGGGGGAGACAAGGCTCATCTCTCCCCATTTCGGAGGGGAAACTGAGGGCTGGAGACAGGACTTGTCCAAAGTCATGCAGCGGATCAGGCACAGAACTGGCTCCTAGCCCCTTGCTCTCCTGCTAGCCCCGCTTCCCTTCCCCATGGACCTGGGAGCCCCTCTCCCCCAGTCCCGCCCTCTAACCACTGGACTTTCCTTTTCCCCATCTGGTGGGCTCTGGTCTCTCTTAGCCTGTGGGAAGGTGTAGGGGGATCCGGGGTGCCATCTATCCCTGCCTCCCTTCCAGACCCCGCTCCACCATGGCAGCCCTGCTGAAGAGCCTGGTGGGGGCGTCGGAGAAGTCGGCCCGCATCGCCCAGCTGTGCCGCCAGGAGGAGGCGCTCTTCCAGCTGCTCATCGAGGAGAAGACGGGCACCGACAAGAACAAGAAGTTTGTGCAGGATTTCAAGACACTGGCGGACGTGCTCATCCAGGAGGTCATAAAGCACGACGTGGGCAAGGAGGTACCCGTGGGCGCCCTGCGGGGCTGGGGGCCTCTCCTCTCCGCCTGCCCGACTGCATCCAAATAGCACCGCCAGGGGGTGGGGGTGGTGCCTAGGCGGGAACAGGGGGTGCCCCTTGGGGGCATGGGGAGGGCATCTTAGCCCTGAGGCAAGGAGCTGCCTAGATCCCATCAATGGACACCCCGCTCCAGGATCCCCTCACCCCTAGACCAAGGGAGATGGAGTCTCATGGGCCTGAGACAAGGCGTTTGTGCTGCCCTGAGCCCCCCCCCCCCGTCTCTTTCAGTTCCCGGAGCTGCATGGCCACATCGGCGGGGAGGAGTCCAACCAGTTTGAGAACAGCCTCGGTGAGTGACTCGGCGGCGTGGGCACGGGACGGAGCTACCAGCCGGGGGCGCTGTACCTTGCAGAGTGGGGTCCCTGGTCTCCCACGCAGCCTGCCCCAGCATGGGGTGGGGAGGGCTCTGAGCTGGTCCTGTACTGGGGTGGGGGGTCCCCCCACTTCACACTGTACTGGGGGCCCCTGAGCCTGCCCTGTCTGGCTAAGCCCGTCCGCCCGCAGGAGAGACCCTGGTGGTACAGGTGTGTGCGACCCAGCAGGACACGGCCTCGCTGCTCTTTACCATCCTGGACCGGAACCAGCCGGCGGCCGAGCTACTGGCAGCCGCCATACACCAGGAGGTGGCGCTGCAGGACCCGGCGCTGGACGCAGTGGCGCTGGCAATCCCCCCGGAGAGACTGGCCATCTGGATCGACCCCATCGGTAAGGGGGGCCCTCGCTGCCATCCCCCAGCACGACACCAGGGGGCGCCGGGAGCAGCTGACCCACTAGGGTGTCCTGGGGCTGGGAAAAGGTGCTGACCCATGGCCCCACCCCCAAGGTGGCTCCTCCCTGCCCTGGAGGGACCCCACATCCCCAGCTCTAGGGCTGAGAACACCAGTTAGCGCCAGTCGTGCTGAGGCCCAGAGAACTTGTTGCCCGGTGGCCCGCAAGGCGAGGACAAAGGGAGCCACGTGGCTTTGCGCTCTGCCCCGGGCGGGGCTCGGAGCCTGGTTCTGACGCCATCTCTCTCTGGCAGACTCCACCAACCAGTACATCCGCGGCCAGGCCCGCGTGGCGCCCATCGGTGGCATCTGCCCGTCCGGGCTGTGCTCGGCGCTGGTGCTCATTGGGGCGTACGACCGCAGCTCGGGGGACCCGGTCCTGGGGGTCATCAACGAGCCGTTCTTCCGGGAGGACCCCCTCACCCACAGGTACTCACCCCTGGATCTCCCCTGAGCCCTGCCCTGGGCACGTCCTGGGCTCGGGGGGTCTTCAGGCGCCCCAGCTGCAGGACCTTGCTGGGGAAACCCACATGGGGCAGGCCACTAGGTGGAGCCCTTGGCCTGCACCAACCCCACCCTTCCCCCAGGGACTGGGGCAGAGAGAAGGGGGTGGGGGGGTTGCTTTGCCAGTGGCTGCTGGCTCTGAGGCTCCTGGTTACCTCTGATCAGCTTCAGTTCATGGCAGGGACCCCCCCAGGGTGTGTGTGACCCTCTCCCACACACGTTCTGCTGGTGTCCCCCAGTCCCAACCTGCAGCCCCCTCCGAGCCCAGCCCTGGGTTCTGCACCCCACAGCTCGGCTAGTGCCCCTCAGTCCCGACCCGCAGCCCCCTGCTAGCCCAGCCCTGGGCTCCCGCCTTCCCCAGCTCTGCTGGTGCCCCTCACTCCCGACCCGTAGCCCCCTGCTAGCCCAGCCCTGGGCTCCCCCCTTCCCCAGCTCTGCTGGTGCCCCTCACTCCCAACCCACATCCCCCTGCTAGCCCAGCCCTGGGCTCCCGCCTTCCCCAGCTCTTCCGGTGCCCCTCACTCCCGACCCGCAGCCCCCTGCTCTCCCACCCCTGGACTCCCGCCTTCCCCAGCTCTGCCGGTGCCCCTCACTCCCGACCCGCAGCCCCTGCTAGCCCAGCCCTGGGCTCCCCACTCCCACAGCCCTGAGCTCCTCTCCTGAGCAGCTGCCATCAGCTCCCTGTCGCAGCTGGTGCTGTCCTGTTGTGTTCTCCTGTCTGCAGGTGGCAGGGTGTGTATCACTGGGGCATCTCGTACCAGGGCACCAGCCTGTCCTCGCTGCGCCGGCCCCCGCTGCGCCCCGAGCCCTGCGTCGTCCTGAGCAGCAGCGAGACACTGGCGATCCAGCGGGCGCTGAGGCCACTGTACGGGGAGCGGCTGCGCTTCGCCTCGGGCGCCGGCTACAAGATGCTATGTGTGATCCTGGGGCTGGCTGAGGCCTACGTCCTCTCGGAGGGCAGCACCTTCAAGTGGGACTCGTGTGCCCCCCATGCCATCCTGCGGGCCCTGGGTGGAGGGATGGTGGACCTGGAGGCTGCCCTGCAGGCCTGGCGCGCTGGCCAGTGGGGGGCACTGCCGGAGCTGACCTACAACCAGCCTGCGGGGGGCGCCGTGGGGGCCGAGCGCTGGGCCAACCGGGGCGGCCTGGTGGCCTTCATGCACCGTGAACACCTGGAGGTGGTGCTGGCCACTCTGGCTACAGCTGCCCTGTGACCCGCAGGGGACTGCCCTGCGGGGGGGGGGGCTGGCTCCGCCTCTGGGCGTGGGGGTGGGGGCAGTCTGGCCCCAAGGGCGCGAAGGGGTGAGGTTGGCAGCACCATTCGGAGCGGGGGCAGGGGGCTGCAGGCAGCCACTGCTCCTGGCAGGTGCCGCAGACCTGACGCATGGGGCAAAGGCCCCAGAGAGGTGCCACCTCCCCTCCCCCCCGGATCCTTCCAGCCCCTCCCCCCTCTGCTAGTGCTGTGGGCGCCCGCTTGTGCCAGCCTCCGCCGCAGGGGGTGTTGCCTGGCCCCCATTAAACAGTGCGTTTCCATTCCTGTCCTCTCGCCTTTCATCTGTTCTCCCTCCTTCGCCCCGGGCCAGGCCCCTGCCCCGGCAGCCCCATCTCCAGAGCTATTGCCCGGCTGGTGCTCCTGGGGCACCGGGTTCTAACCCGGCCCTGGGGGGCTCTGGGACTGGGGGGGGCGGGGCACACTGCACCAGACCCCTCTGGGCATGGCAGCAGGCCCCAGGCTATGCTACCAGCCGGAGCCAGCAGGGGGCAGGAGCGGCCGGGCTGTATAAACCCTGCTGGGCAGGAAATGTTCCCCCCTCTGCCCAGCCGGGCAGCCCCCTCTCGAGCCAGGGTGGGCTTTGCCCAGGGCAGGGGCCTCTTCCCCTGGATGAGCAGTGAGCTCGGGGGCCAGGCCCCCAGCAGGGCCCTGGCAGCTGCCCCCGCTGGCTGGTCAGGGGGGTCGGGACAGTACGGCTTCTTCTTCGAGTGATTGCTCCTGTCTGTTCCACAGTAGGTGTGCGTGCTCGCCCCGTGCACCAGTGCCAGAAGTTTTTCCCTTAGCAGCATCCGTAGTAGGGGAGCCCCGCTGCAACCCCTGGAGTGGCGCCGACACATCGCGCCATAAAGGGGGCTGCGCGCTCCCCCCACCCTCAGTTCCTCCTTGCCGCCAGTGAAGGTCGTCGGAACTTTGTGCTCCAGCCTTGGCTGCAGCGTTTATAGCCTTCGTGGTGTCCAGTTTCACTGAACTTTCTTTCGCTAGTGCCTGGCTCGGGGCATGCCCCGTGGCCCAGGCTTCAAGTCGTGCGACTCTTGTCACAACTCTATGCCCAGAAGCGATCCACACACTCCTGTCTTCGCTGTCTGGGCGAGGCTCACATTAGTGAGAAGTGTAAAATTTGCCGCTCCTTCAAGCCGCGAACAAAGAAGGAGCGTGAGATCCGACTCCGAGCTCTCGCCTCGTCAGCGGCCTAGGTGGCTCATGTCCCTATTCAGGCCATCTGCAGGGCTGCTACGTGGTCCTCTGTCCACACTTTTGCATCGCAGTATGCGATCGTCTCCCAAGCAAGGGATGACGCTGGGTTTGGTAGGGCGGTGCTCCGCCCGGGTAACCCGTAACCTTTATCATTCAGAACTCCTACCCACCTCCGTCAGGGATAGCTTGGAGTCACCTAGTGTGGAATACACAGGGTCAATCACTCGAAGGAGAAAGGACAGTTCCCTGTTCCGTAACTGGCGTTCCTCGAGATGTGTTGCTCCTGTCTATTCCACACCCCGCCCTCCTTCCCCTGTCGGAGTTGTCTGGCAAGAAGGAACTGAGGGTGGGGGGAGCGCGCAGCCCCCTTTATGGCGTGATGTGTCAGCGCCACTCCAGGGGTCGCAGCGGGGCTCCCCCACTATGGATGCTGCTAAGGGAAAAACTTCCGGCACCGGTGCACGGGGCGAGCACGCACACCTACTGTGAAATAGACAGGAGCAACACATCTTGAAGAACGCCAGTTACGGAACAGGTAACTGTCCTATCCGGGCCCCCTGCCCCACCCCAGCAGCGGAGTCCCCGGACCCCTGCCCTGCTGCCCAGCCTTGGCGTGTGCGAGACCTGCAGAGCCGAGCCCAGGCTGGGCCTCAGGGCCTGCCGAGGGCGCTGGGAGCTCCCGGAGGGGGCCTGCCAGGGAGTGGGGTGGCAGGGAGCTTGCCGGGGCCGCTGGCTCTTCCCTTCTTCCCTGGCATGCAGGTCCCAGCCCCCAGCATCCTCTGGGCACCCCTGGGGGGGTGTCCTGCTCCAGGCCCCTTGGCTCAGGCCCGAGCGGGGGGTGCCGGGAGCTGGACGCAGAGGCGGGCAGGCTGCCCTCTGGGCCCAGCTGTACAGAGGTGAGCAGCGGGGGTGGGGAGAGGCGCAGGGAGGGGAAGGGACCTGCCCAGGGTGACCTAGTCTGTGAGCACAGAGGTAGGAATAGAACCCAGGAGTCCTGGCTCTGGGCAGCCTGTGCCCTGGGGCTCCCCGACCTGGCAGCGCTGAGCTGTCCCTGGGCAGGGCAGGAGGGAGGAGTTGCCGTACACCTCACCCTGCTGCTATCTAATCTGGAGCGATGGGCCGCACCTCTCTAGGGGGTGATCCAGCCCCAGGGCAGGGCCTGGCTGGCTGGGGGGGGCTGGGAATGGGGCATGGGCCTTTCCCCTCTAGGGGACGCTGTTTCCAGGTCTAACTGCTCACCTGGGGTCATTTCTGAGCTCTGCACCCACCGTGAGCAAGTCACCAAATCTTTCTGGGCCTCAGTGCCCTGATCCCCTGGCCTATCGAGTTAGGGGTCAGGCTCTCTGGGCAGGGGCTGGCTCCTCCTCTGTGTTTGTGCCGGGCCTGGCACGGGGGGCCCTGGTCTCGGGTGGGACCGCTAGGCACTACACACTACAGATACTAAAGTCACGCTCCAGCTCCTCGCCCGGCCCGTGCCATGGGCAGCAGGCAGAGTGCCCGCGGCCCGAGGGCCCAGACCACACACTGCTGGTGGCTGATCGTGGTGGTGGGTGGGATGGTCTCTCTGTAATACCCTGATGGAGGCCATAAAACACAAGGGTATGAGGGAGACATTTAAAACCAAGGTCCTGCCCCTAACTGACAGCTCCCCCCGCCCCCCCCGAGACTGAACCAGGCCTGCCATTGCAACGGGGACATAAAGGAAGGTTTGTCCTGTCTGGGCTGACGCCAGCCCAGCACCCAGGGACTTTCCTGGGTAAAATGAAGTCACTTTACAAGGCAGTTCGACAACAGCCCGGCATTGTCTGCATTCCCCAGAGGGGGAAACTGAGGCACGGAACAAGCCAGTGACCTGCCCAGGGTCACGCAGCGAGGCGGGTGGAGTTGGCAGTGGAGCCTGGAAGTCCTGGTTCCCAGCCCCCTGCACCAGTCTTTGGCGCATTAGCCCTCCAAGACCTGGGACAGAACCCAGGAGTCCTGGCTCCCCCGCTGTCCTCCCACATGGCTAAACTTGGCTGGCTCAGCGGTGCGGGGACTCAAAGGCTCCCTGGAGCAGGCGATTCAGCCCCCGGCGCTGTCGGCTCCTGCACCTGCCACAGGCTGTCGTGCTCCGGACCGCGCTATCTGCAAGGGAAACCAGCTCTCGTTCCCGCAGGCGGCCTGCTTCCACGCCGGAGCCACGTTCCCTGGACAGCTGCCCAGCCCCACGAGGCACTGGCAGCCGCGTGGCAAACCAGCTCCTTGCGCCCCATGGCCCGCTCAGCCCTGGGAGAATCACCTGGTCCCAGAGCAGAGCCCCCCCAGCCAGGCTAGGGGGCTGGATGTGATCCTCCCGGGAGGGGGGCCGGCGGTGCGGAAAAGCCTCACTCCAGGGCCTGGGTGAACTATCGATTTGGGGTGGACGCTGTTCTACCGCCGTGCAGGGGCCGGAGAGACCCCAGGTTCTCCTCTAGTCTGCCCTGGGCACAGCTGGGGCACTGCCAGCGATGGGGTTCTCCTCTCCCTGCCCCGGGGAGGTGGGGCCAGGGCCTAATCCCCCCCCCTTAACAATCTGGGGCTAATTTGTAACTAATTTGGTTTGGCTTCCAGCTCCCAGACCCTTCGAACTCAGCGCGGTTTGGGTCCTGTCCCAGATGGGCCTAGCTACACTGCCCAGAGCAGCAGGATGATCCCAGGGCTGGAACGGCTCCTGTCCCAGGACAGATGACTGAGGGGGGATAGGAGAGAGGGCGAGAAAATCAGGCTGGGAGGGAGAACATCAGAACGGCCAGACTGGGTCAGACCCAAGGTCCATCCGGCCCAGTGTCCTGTCTGCCAACAGTGGCCAATGCCAGGGGCCCCAGAGGGAATGAACAGAGCAGGGAATCATCAAGTGATCCATCCCCTGTCGCCCATCCCCAGCTTCTGGCAAACAGCGGCCAGGGACCCCATCCCTGCCCAGCCTGGCTAGTAGCCATTGATGGACCTACCCTCCAGGAACTTATCTAGTCCTTTTCTGAACCCTGTTATTGTCATGGACCTTCACAACCTGCTGCCTATTGATTTCATTTGGTGACCCCTAGTTCATGTGTTGTGAGTAAATAACACTCCCTGATTTACTTTCTCCACACCAGTCATGATTGTATAGACCTCTAGCATATCCCCCCTGAGTCATCTCTGTTCCAAGCGGAGAAGTCCCAGTTTTATTAATCTCTCCTCATATGGCAGCCGTTCCAAACTCTCATCATTTTGTTTCCCTTTTGTGAACCTTTTCCAATTCCAATATCACTTTTTTGAGATGAGACCACACCCGCACGCAGTATTCAAGGTGTGGGCGTCCCATGGATTTACACAGAGGCAACAGGATATTTTCTGTCTTATCTACCCCTTTCCTAATGATTCCCGGCATTCTGTTTGCTTTTTTGACAGCCGCTACCCACTGGGTGTTTTCAGAGACCCAGCCGCAGTGAAAGGGAGGAAGTGACTAGGGAGAGTTATTTCCCCTTTCCCTGGGGTCGCCAATGAAGTGAACAGGCAGCAGGTTTCCCACAAGCGAGAGGCAGTGCGTTTCCATGCAATGCGCGGTTAACCTGTGGAACTCCTCGCCAGGGGATGTTGTGAAGGCCCAAAGTATAACTGGGTCAGTTCACGGGCAGGGCCGCAGCCACCTCGGGGCGACCTAAACCTCTGACCGCCAGGAGCTGGGAGGGGACGCGGGGCCTCGTCTACCTGCCCTGTTCTGGGCTCTCCCCCAAAGCTGGGGCAGGGCTGC